TTATAAATTTATTTAATATTGCAAAGTTATATATAATATATAATTTCGATGTTATATATGTGTATATAGTAGCAATAATGACAACCGACCTGTGACGTAGAATGTGCATCGTGGCCTCGTGCGGAGTTCAATTTCAACCACTCTTTGATCCTGGCGTATTTGGCGCGATGATTGTTGGTCAAACCCTTCTTATCGTCGAATATAAAGTGAGGGAATGTCTTTGAGGCACCGTTGCGCCTTTCCTCGCCGACTAACTTCTCCACCTCTTTGATGAGCCTCTGGATGCTGGTTTTGTCGTTGCTGACCTCGTCGTCGCTGTCTTTCTTGTTCGAAGGCGACGCGTCGATTTCGTTAGTCTCGTTAGTCTCGTCGACAACCTGCATGCTGGACGTCTCCTTCACGGGCTTCCTATCGCTCGTTTCCCCGTCTGCCTCGGCAGCAGACCCTCGCGATTCACTCTGCTGAACCTCGCCGAAGTCCAGACGCACCAGCACGTTCGTATTTCGTTGTTCATTCGTAGCATTCACCCGCGACGACGTGTACGTCCATTCTTCCTCCGAGGAATCCTCCATCGCGATCGCCCCACCGTCCTCGTTCTGCTCCGAGTCGGTGTCCAAGTGGCGGAAATAGAAGGTCGCGCAGTTCTTCGATTTCCTGTCGGACCTAAGGCGAAACGACACGGATCAGTGACGCGAAATTCTGATTATCGCCCACCCGTGTGAAAAGGAAGGCATAAAAGCGTTAACTTTTTATGTTTTCTTCAAGGGGAAGGCTGGCTTGCTCTGTACTTCGTTGCTTTGCTTCGAGTCACTCGTTCGTGCAATTAGGGAAATTGATAAAGTATTATAGAAATTAACGTGATGCTCTCTTCTCCTTCTCTTTTTTTACAGATAAATTTTGCTTGCTAAAATACATAAAAAAAACTTGCTGGACTAAATTTATTTATTTATTCCGGTTTTGTCCCTTGAGATCGTTTCCTTGGGTTTTTCCCGCGTTGAGAAATTTCTCTGCGTCGTGTTTTATAAATATGACGATTTGTTTTCTGATCATTTTCGACACCTAACGGTACATGTTGTCTTTTTAAAATTTCTTCTGAAATTTAAACTCGAACGAATATATTATTTTTGTCATTCAGTGATGTTAAGCCTAATCAAGCATATAGATTTGTTTTAAATATAAATAGTTGAGCAAAAAAAGAAAAAAAATATTGTTAAAAGTTAGAGACATTGGTCATTTTGAGGGCTCATTTAATAATCTCAATATTCTAAGTATCTTTTGTATTCTGAAATCTTAATAATTTTCAGCAACATCGTTAATAAGGAAAAAATTTAATAATAATAGAAAGCAGATAAATTTGGAAAATGAATCTATTCAAACAGATTTATGTCTCCCAAGGACAGTGTTTCGTAAAAATATCAATGTCTAGCGTGAAACGGATAGATCGTGTTTTTCTAGAAATCATCGAACGTTTCACGAGAGATTAAATTAAATCTTTTTTGCACTGCAAACGAAGCTCAAAAACACTTATCCACACCATGCTTAAACTTTCCTCCAATCACCATCTTGGTCGCGAAACTTTACCACGTACAAACAACGATCGACGAAGATCAATGAAAGTAGTAGCTGATCAAACGAGCGACATTAACACGAACTAGTTCTGAACAGAGAACTAACAATACATCCCGATCGTGCATCGTCGATCATACACGCCCACGAGATAAAGATTGCGATAAGGGATCGATACTTACATATTAAAAGAGGCGACTTCCTCAGTTGTTCGGCGACGTTTCAGCGGCTCGTTAGCGGCCAAATTGCCGTTCGATTGGTCGACGTTGCCCGGTTGGCCGTCGATCTGATCGCTCTCGACGATGGCCGTCGAATTTGTTATCGGCACCGTGTCTGGGATCGGTGGCATATTATCGTTCTCTTCGTCCTCGCTTAGCGTACCTTCCTCGATATCAGCCTCCTCGCCCTGGTCACCCAACGTGCTCGCGATTCGATTGATTTCGTCGACTGCCACTCCCTCGGACTGTGCGTCCATCACACAAAGAGGGCATAATTCATCCTGCAATCAAAAGTTTATTATATATATATATATATTTTTTTTTTTCCATTTACCTTTCATTATTTCGATCGGTGAAGCTTCGTTGGAAGCTACTAGGAACGGGTCATCGTACCGATTTCTGGTGAGAATGTTACTTTCAGTGAGCGTGTTCGAAATCGTGCTTGATAAAAAAAAAGAGCAAACATCGCCGAGAGAGAACCGTACGTCGATATCACACCGTGTCGACTGGCGGTGAGCGCGAGATTATCACGATAATTTTCCACGATACGGAGTTAATTATCGATCAGGCCGCTAACTGGCATACTAACGCAAACAGCTGTCCGATCCCGACGAAATAGTATCGCAAAATAGGCGAGCAGAATGTTCCTTGAAGACGAGTGACCTTAAACAGCAATCGAAACGATTTATCTTTAGTAAAGAAAAATAATGAATACAATTTGTGTAACTTCTCTCGTTTATGGTTGTAACTAGTATAAATCAATTGAGCAAATAAAATATTACTAGTCAACGAGACGAGCTTAGAGTGCAATCAAATACAGGTAAAAATCTGTCGTTGTAATTAATTAAATTTACATCTTGCTCACCTGCATCGATCAAATAAATATCAAGCCACGAACTTTCGTTTCGTAACGAGTACCTAAATGAAGATTTAAAGAAACCTTAAGATAAGTACCTATCTTGTCAAAATATTGCAGTGAATGAATAAAATGTACCTAATTATGACTCATGTATAGACATAGACACAGTTGTTCAGATTAATATTCAGAGATTGTTATAATTGTTAAAAATTAATATAATTTCGTAAAACAAGACGATGAACCATTTTAAAGCTTGAAGCCTCTGCTTTCAAAATACATCATCCATTTTTTTTTTTTCAAGTGGAAAAGTAAAGGCGAAATGTAGAAACATTGAAGAATTCCTTCC